GGGGGGGAATTGAGTCTGCTGTACCAGACACCAGACCTTGAGAATATGCTGATCTGGAATGGCTCTGTGTCTCATTTTGAACCATCCAATAGAAATGATTCTGTATTTCGCCTCATTTGAAAGACTCTATGTTTCACCTCATTTGAATAACTCTGTACTTTGCCTCATTTGAATAACCCTGTATAGCGCCTCATATACATTGACCAATGGGAATAGCTCTGTATAATGCCTCATTAGAATTATCCAATAGAATCCCTGCTCCTAGCTTGCGCCTTTTTCCCTATATAAGGACCCCTTTCCCTTGGCTCGGGGCGCTTAGCCACACAGAAGCTAAGTCGCCCCGGGTACCCGCGTCTCCAATAAAGCCTCTTGTTTTTGCATCCAAGTTCATGGCCTCGCTGATTCCTGGGTGTGGGTCTCCCTCTACGAAAGTACCTCTTTGGGGGTCTTTCAATTCTTTTTCATTTGTTTTGTTGGCATAGGCTCCCACTGTGTTGCTCGGGGCAGTGTTGAGTTTCCGATTCTCTAGCCTGCTAGGCTTGTAGGTGTACATCACCAGGCTTGCCTCTTGTAATGCCCACTCATTCTTCTTCTACCTTGTAATCTGATCTATAGACAAGTAGGTCATAATGATTACTATCATTTTATATTTAAACTAGATTTTATCTTCAGTTATTTATGAAAAATAATCTTTGGGATTTTTATCCCTTAAAATGTGAACATATATAAGACAGCTTCTGTTATTTATATTAAGTTATTTATAAGTATAAAGCTTAAACATGTATAGAATTACAAACAATTATTTCCCTCATTATTCTGATCTACTTTTATTTCTCTGTAATTCCTCTTGAGATGCTGATTTCAGAGCTGTGAGCTATGCAGGGACTGAACATCTGCATCTTCAAATCATTGCTGCTGAGTTTGAGAATAAACCTGACAATGAAATGTCATAGTCTCAGAGCTGCTGCTTCCATCAAAGGGAAAAGAAATGAAGATCACTTTAAAGAGAGCTATGAAGCCATGGAAACAGCAAATACCTGGCATCAGTATTTTAAAGTTTATTCTAGAGCTACTGGATGTGGTAGAATGCTTATTTAATTTTTAAAGAATTTTTGTACATAAGGCAATATCTTAAGGAAGGACAACATGATTAGAAGTTAATGAAAAATTATCATAATGATTTAGGATCTTTAAGCAATCTTTAAACATTTCTTAGCCGAGAAACAGAATATCTCACATTACAAAAACCATTTCTTTAATTTTTCTAAATAGATGTTTCACTATAATTATATGGGTTCTTCTCCCCTCTCAAAATGAAGGCATAAAAATTGTTTTGTGCTGTTCTGATCTGGCAGTTAAGTGGGGCAAGACTGATAAAATCCTCAATGCTTTCCACAGACCATAGAAAGCAATGCTAGGGAGCTTTCAGAACCACACATGTGAGGGATAACATGCTATTATTCCATTAATTGATATATTTTTGAACTTGTTCCTTAGGAAAGAAATAAAGTGGTCTGTCCAGCAAGTACCAAAGTGAAACCGAAAGAGAAAACACAGTCCCTCTATGTCACCCTGACCATGCCCTCACAAGCATGGTCAGGCACACCTGTAGCCAGCCCCTAAGTAGGCGTGGCTACAGCTTCCCCTACAAGATGTCTCAGAAGGTGAAGTATTTATGGTACAAGCATTAGGATTCCTGAGTTTGGATCCTTTGAATTCATGTGAATCTGGACATAGTATCAGGTCTCTATAATCATAGTGCTCTTCTTATAAAAGATTGGAGATGGAGTCAGGAAAATTCCTGGAAGCTTGCAGCTAGCCTAGTGTATGTAGCAGTGAAGAATAAGAGATAGAGTCAGACGAAGTAGAAGGCAGGAGTCAACACCTGAGATTAACTTCTGTGACATGGCATGAACACACACACCCTCACATATATGAAAAGTGTACACACTCATACACATGTCACATATACTCACATAAAAGGTTAAAAGGTAGAAAGCAAAATAAACTACAGGAAGTATCTCAAAAAACATAAGTAAGTTTATGTAAGCATTTTTAAATGGATTTTTTTTTGTGATTTCAGTACAGGCATTTTGAAAACTCTAAATCATTTCACTCTGTTATTGTTTGAATGTGCCATGCCCTTCAGTGTTCTTCAGTAAAACAATAAGGGACTGCAAGAGAAAATATTTGTATAGCTCTTATATGCATTTATTCAGAAGGTGCTTTCTGACTTGTGCTATACATAAATGTAATTATTTTCCATTTTTGATCATTTTTATTCTGCATCACACACACACACTTGCGCTCACACACACATACACACCCCTCACATGAAATTATATCAGAGCATTATTGGCTTAGTTGCTTTGTTGTTGCTGTTATTAAATACCCTTACAAAAGCAACTTAAAGGAGAAAGGCTTATTTTGACTTAGAGTTCCAGAAGGATACAGTCGATCTTGTTGGGAAAGATATGACAGCAAGCAAAAAATACATGGTGGCAGAGTCAGGAAACTGGCAGGTCACATTGTGCCCATACTCAGGAAGCAGAATCAACGATAAGAGCTGGGCTGTAAAACCTCAGGGTCTGCTGAAGGAAATAAGGGTCCATCTCCAGCATGTCCCAGAAGCTTCCCAATAGCACCATCAATTTAAACAAGTGAGCCTATGGGGAACATTGCACATTCGAACCACAATAAGAATTAGTAGTACATAGTACTTTTAAATATAATTCCTGAGATGTGTAAATGTCTTATATTTAGGATCACATGATATCTAGATGTCTGGATATCTGAACATAAAATTAATTAAACAACACAAGTAAACTAGCAAGCAGTTCGGTGGCAGGTTGCGAACACCGAACACCCAGAGGCAGCCCGGCCTCCATCCACCGGCCCAGGAAGGCCAGGAACTGTTTCCGGTTCCAGTTCATCATCACTGCTCAGAGTCATCTGAGGCAAGCACCTGTGTGCCAGACCCAGTTTGGCGGTGGCGGGTTGAAAAAACCGAACACCCAGAGGCAGCCTGGCTTCCATCCACTGGCCCAGGTAGGCCAGGAACTGTTTCCAGTTCCAGTTCATCATCGCAGCTCAGAGTCATCTGACGTAAGCGACCTGCGTGGAGTTCGGCAGCAGGACCTGACACCCCGAGGCCCGGTGACAGCTCTGCCTCTAACTGCCTGACAGGTGGGACCTGGTATGCCCAAACACTGCCTACACCTGGGAAACAGTGACACCTCCATCCACAAGAAGAGCACAGACATCAGAGTATTGGATCTGTTTGCATCTCCCAGAAGGGAACCTTGGTCCCACATCCACCAGGAGAACAAGAAACACTACACCCACCAAAAGAAAGGCTGAGAAGAGGACAAGATAAAAGCACATCCAACAACAGAAAACCCAATATGACGCCACTGGAGACTAGGAACCATACACCAGTAAGACCTCAACATCACGATGCAGATGAACCAGAGAGAGGAAATCAACAGACCCTAAAGAGAAATGAAAAAAAAGACAAACCGAAAGATACAAGAAATCAAGGAAGGCCAAGGAAATACACTTAAACAGCTGAAGGAAACAGTTCAAGACTTGAAAACTGAAATAGAGACAATAAAGAAAGCACAATCTGAGGGAATGCTGGAAATAGAAAAGCCGAGTAAACAATCAGGAACTACAGATGTAAGCATAACCACCAGAATACAAGAGATGGAAGAGAGAATCTCAGGAGTTGAAGCAC